CACTTCAATAATAATATAGAGCCTCTGAAGTAGACTTTCTAATAAACAAAGTAAGTGAAGGACAAAAATTAAGGCTTTTAGGGAAATAAATAAATAAAAATATCACCCAGCAGATTGTTTTGTTTAGTGACTGGCTTCGAGTTTTTCAGTCTCACTTTGCTTCTCTGCAGGTTTCCTTTTCATTTATTCATCACATTCACTCAAACATGACTCATTCAGTAAAGAAACGACTGTTGTGGTTTCCGTCTGTGTCATTTCAAGTCTGTCATGAGTCCTATTTGACGAACAAACAGGGTTCCGCTGCAGAACAAACACCGGTTGTTTGAGCGTCGACCAGGAAGAGAGAGACGCGTCACGTCGATGTATACCTCTATTTTCGGGCACGCCTTCATCTTCTCTTCCTGTGGGATGGTGTTTGTCACGACCACGGCCTCGAACGGGGCGTTGTTGATGCGAGAGATGGCAGGACCTGAGAATATGCCGTGTGTGAGGATGGCATAGACCTTTACAGCTCCGGCGTCAATTAGCCTGGATGGAAGAACAAGAAAAATGCAGCTTTGTGACACACGCAGGTCAAGCAACAATTTTCTATGATGCTCTGATGATACGGTGTTTTTTTACTAGATCAAAACCTTTCTGCTTCTACAATGCTGCACCTGACCGTCTGAGCAGAAGCATGTGAACGGTACTGACTTGTCAGCAGCGTGGCAGATGGTGCCGCAGGTGTCGGCCATGTCGTCCACCAGGATGGCCACGCGGTCCTTGACGTCACCGACCAGCACCATGCGGTCCACCTCGTTGGCCTTCTTCCTCTCTTTGTGGATGAGGGCGAAGTCCACGTTGAGACGGTCGGCGATGGACGTCACGCTGAAGAGGACGGACACAGAACATTGTGAACCTTTAATTTCAGTGCAATCTTTGCAGCGCGACCTTGTTTCTGCAGAGAATGAGATCAAATGACGAAGCAGATGAAAATCAGAGGTTCTGCTGATGAGCATCACAGCTGAAAGGCTTTAAATAGACTCACAATGCACACCAGCACCTCCGGATGTACACCGTCTGCAGTTTATTTAGATTACAATCAAACATATCTAATTGAGATTTTTCTGACACATATTGCAATTTGATTTGAGATATAACTGTTTGACCCTCTGAAGCCCGAATCATGTTGTTTGAAATGTCTATTTGTACTTTTAAACTGCCTGAAGTCCACTATTTATCAGCCACAAACTGTAAAAGCAGAACGAATTGTTGGATTTTCGTTCAGACCACTCTTATAAATCATCTGTGACGTGACATTTTGTCAGAAAACTTCACTCAATCTATGATATTTCATCCAAATCACATTATTCAGGAGAAATGAGGATTAGAGGTTGCTCTGGATGCTACTGGCAGCGAGTAAGAAAGCCGTTACCAGGAAATGGTTCAAATCTGACCCTCTGACCATCGAAGCGTGGATCAAAATAATTAAAGACATTTACATTGTGGACAAACTCTCATTTACTCTCAGAATTCAAAGGGAGATGTTTTAGAAGATCTGGACAAAGTGGACTGAGTACGTGAAGCCCAGAAGGTCTGACTTTGTAGAATATTTGTTGGTTTAACTGGATGGATTTTTACTGGAACGGGACTCTTCCCATAAAGGTTCTTTTGTCAAGATACACAAAAAAAAAGAAGGAAAAAAAATCACATTATTCCACAGATCTCTTTAGAAATGTTGCCAAAATTAAACAGTTTGCTCAGACCAGATTCTGTAAAAACCAAAACATTGGGACTACTGTTTGGTTGAACTGATGTTTTCTCAACGTAGGTCTGAAACAAGTGTGAAAACAATTTAAACATGGAAGCAGTTAAATATTTATAGTTTGCAGAGTCATCATTATGTTTCCTAGTATTGTTTACACCTAAAAAATAAAATCTGTCGTACATGTGGATTCAAGTTTTAAAGTGTAAAATAAATAAAGGAATTCAACTTTAATTTTCAGTGACTGTGTAAAACTGCACAGAAGACATTCCTGAGTTCTCTCCAGTCGTGGTTGTTCTGTTTCCACAGAGGGGCAAAAAGGTCCAAAAAAACACCCAGAAATGTGAAGCTGCTTGATGTTCAGAAGGTTAAAGTCAAACTTCAGTTCAGCATCGACTGTGTAACAGATCTAAAGCACGTGACAGAGCAAAACATGAAATAGAGTTAAAACATTAAGTGCTAACATGTCACATTTTTCAGTTTCTTGTCTTAGAATCCATGTAGAGTTCTTGAACTGGACTGAGGGATGTGCAGGAAGTAACGGCACGTCATTTATCCAGCGTTTAGAGAAAGATTTAAACCATTGTTTACATGTGGAGTTACAATAACACCAGAATGGTTTGTGTTCTAGACTAGTTTAGAGACTTTTTGGCTGCTCATTTGTCGTTCAGCTGCCCGTCATGCTTTTTAAATTGCTCATAATGTGGCGTCTATTCTACAAAACATCTTCAACAATAACTATTTGNATTGAGGCCTTTTCTGAACTGATAAAGTTGAAGTATCAGCATGAACCTGAGCCCAACACAAAGGCTGTGAACAGAGGTGATGAACAGAAGTCTTGTTCTCTTCTTGTCAACACAGAACGGCCTGTAGTCTGAGTGGTGCCTCCTTGAATTGCTACAGTGTTAAACAGTTAGATGGTGCAACCAGGTGTGTATGAATTTGGGAGATACTAAATATGAAATGACTCGGATCAGAGGGGTATGAACTATGAAGCAACTTTGACATATCCAGGCTTTCTTTGTGTCAGTTGGCTCAACACAAACTAAAGTTCCAGTCAGAGATCACAGGTATCACGAAGGTGGTTTTTAACTTTCTTTGTCAACTCAGACTTTCTGCTTCAGACTCTGTTCAAATAAAAGGAGGCGTTTCATGTGTCATATGACTTTTCTTCTGCACAAAAGTAAACGATTGTGTGCAGCTGCTTCAGTCAACACGTTGTTTTAATGGAGAGCAATGAGGAACATAATAATGTATGACGGTAAAAAGTACTGCTACGGCAAATGGTGCAAGACAGGAATGCTGGTAGAAACCTGTTAAATGTGCTTATTTCCAACAGACAGCTGCACATTAAAGCTGTTTAATGTCACATATTTAAACATGATCTTGTATTGAAGAGTGTTTAGGTCTGACATTGTCCCATAATGCAGGAAATCACTTTAATTTTTGGCCAAATCGAAGCGAAATTAATGCAATAAATACCATTTTCTAATCTTGTTCGATCAGCTACAGTACCTGCTGTGTAAACATAAAAACATATTTATGTGATTTCTGCATGGAAGCTAAATACATGTCTGGTTCCCATGGCAATACAATGCATATATCACATCATATTGTAACTACATGGTTTCATTCAGTGATATTATTCACACACAGCTCAGCATGTTAGCAGATAAGACATATTCCAACAGCTGAGAATCCGTATCGCTCATAAATAATAGTCAGGAAACGATCTGGTTAAAGGGAGACGCTCTTTCCAGCTGATTTAAATCCAAAACTCTGAACATAACCTAGAGCAGGTCAGCTCCACAGCATCCGTTACCATAGAGATCTAGCTCCACAGCATCAGTTGCCATGGAAATCTAGCTCCACAGCATCCGTTACCATGGAGATCTAGCTCCACAGCATCAGTTACCATGGAGATCTAGCTCCACAGC